TGTAGTGTAGTGGTATATAGGTTAGATTTAGTAAAATTAGGAAGGTTCTCGAAGGTCTTCTCGAGCGTGGGAATAATAGCAAGAGGGTCGTCGAAAGTTCGAGAACAAAAATTCGATGGGTTTAAATTAAGACGACCCTTTCAACTCCTCGTCGACCAGCTCTCCTTTTGCTTCCTCATCGTGCCAAGAGAAAATGTCTCCACCCGAATCAGAAAGCTTTGGCTTCCAGGCCGAGATATCTCAGTTGCTCGACCTGATCATCAGTACGTCTCCTTTATCTTTCCCCGATTATCGACGCGTCGTTGACAAGACTCGTGAACAGACACTTTCTACTCCAACAAAGAAATCTTCCTTCGTGAACTCATCTCCAATGGCTCTGATGCTCTCGACAAAATTCGTTACTCTTCTCTCACCGACCCCTCCGTTCTTGATTCGGAGAAGGAGCTCTATATTCGTATAACTCCTGACAAAGATAATAAGGCCCTCTGCATCCGTGATAGTGGCATCGGTATGACCAAGGCCGACATGGTCAATAACCTTGGTACCATTGCCAAGTCTGGGACGAAGGTAACATATGCACAGTACCCTTGTCGGATATCGTTTCCTTACGTGTCGTTGCAGGGCTTTATGGAGGCACTCAGTTCCGGTGCCGACATTTCCATGATTGGCCAGTTCGGTGTCGGTTTCTATTCTGGTTACCTCGTTGCGGAGCGCGTTCAAGTCATCTCGAAGCACAACGACGATGAGCAATACATCTGGGAATCGGCTGCAGGCGGTACCTTCACTATTACCCCCGACACTGTGAACCCACCTCTCGGTCGGGGCACCGAGGTTCGCCTCTACCTCAAGGAAGATCAGACAGAATACCTTGAGGAGAAACGTATCAAGGATGTCGTCAAGAAGCACTCCGAGTTCATCTCCTATCCCATTCAGCTCGTCGTTACCAAGGAGGTAGAAAAGGTTGGGTCATCCTTGCCATTGTCAGTTCATTCGTTCTGATCAGGCTTTGCAGGAGGTTGAGGATGAGGAGGAAGAGGAAGAGGCCAAGGAGAAGGAGGAGGAAGAGGAAGAGGGCAAGTCCAAGGTCGAGGAGGTCGAGGATGAGGACGAGGCCAAAGAGAAAGAGAAAGACAAGAAGAAGAAGAAAGTTAAGGAGCAGACCAAGGTTAATGAGGAACTCAACAAAACAAAACCCATCTGGACACGTAATCCGAGCGATATCACGCCAGAGGAGTATGGGTCCTTCTACAAGTCGCTCACTAATGACTGGGAGGACCACCTTGCTGTCAAGCATTTTTCCGTCGAAGGTCAGCTCGAATTCAAAGCTATCCTCTATGTCCCGAAGCGGTATGTTGCCTCTGTTGCTTGTCAGCATGCGTTTGACCTGGCCCTATAGTGCGCCTTTTGACTTGTTTGAGAGCAAGAAGAAGCGCAACAACATCAAACTCTACGTCCGCAGAGTGTTCATCATGGACGACTGCGAGGACCTCATTCCTGAATACCTTAACTTCGTGAAGGGCATTGTTGACTCGGAGGATTTACCGCTCAACATTTCACGCGAGACCCTTCAGCAGAACAAAATCCTTAAAGTCATTCGCAAGCACATCGTCAAGAAGTGTATGGATCTGTTCTCGGAAATTGCAGAAGACAAAGACAACTTCCAGAAGTTCTACGAGGCGTTCGGCAAGAACCTCAAGCTTGGTATTCATGAGGATGCTCAGAACCGTAGCAAGCTTGCCGAGTTCCTGCGTTTCCATTCGACAAAGGCCGTTGACGAGTTGACCACTCTTAAAGGTGTGCCTTATGTCGCGCACAACTACACTTCTTGCTGATGTCAATCTTCAGACTACATAACACGCATGCCCTCGGGACAGAAGGCGATCTATTACCTCACGGGTGAATCCCTTGCCGCCATCAAGGACTCTCCATTCCTGGAAGTCCTCGGGAAGAGGGGTTTCGAAGTTCTGCTTCTAGTGGATCCCATTGACGAGTATGCCATGTCGCAATTGAAGGAGTTCGATGGTCACAAACTCGAGTCGGTCTCGAAAGAAGGTCTTGAGCTCGAGGAGACAGACGATGAGAAGAAGGCACGCGAGGAAGAGGCTAAGTCCTACGAAGACCTTTGTAAAGTTATCAAGGATGCACTTGGCGACAAGGTCGAGAAGGTGGTTGTGTCGAACCGTATCTCCGACTCCCCCTGCGTCCTCGTTACTGGCCAATTTGGTTGGTCATCGAATATGGTGAATTTTTTTCATCGCCTTGACTGTTCGTCGAGAGCTCATACCTCTGTCGTATATAGGAACGGATTATGAAGGCTCAGGCTCTCCGTGATACGTCGATGTCGTCCTACATGGCATCGAAGAAGACACTCGAGCTCAATCCCAAGCACCCAATTGTTAAGGAGCTCAGGCGTAAGGTCTCGGAGGATAAGGCAGACAAATCTGTCAGGGATTTGACCTATCTCCTGTTCGAAACGGCCCTTCTCACGTCTGGCTTCTCGCTTGAAGAGCCGACATCCTTCGCAAAGCGAATTCATCGCATGATCTCGTAAGTACCTGTATTCCCCCCGTGTCGAGTTGCGATTAAGAGTTTCCCGATCTATTTCAGACTTGGTCTTGATGTTGACGAAGAAGATGAGGAGCCAGCAACTGCTGTCGAGGAGGTGGCACCCGCGGCAACGGAAGCTGTTTCGTCTGCGATGGAGGAGATCGACTAGAACTACACGGACTTTGCTACTGGAAATGGTTCTGTAATAAAATTGGCTGTCAAGGCCCCTGTGTACTATGCGTTCACATCCATTTCCCTCCATATTTGGTCTACTACATCATCATCTAACTACCCGCATTTTTCTTTTCCCGTGGCTGTCCATCCATGAGGCTTGCATGAGGCACTGAGCGCTGTCTCACATAACTGTGAATTGATAGATGATGGATACCGTGAACCCTGTTATAGCCGTGGCTGCTCAGGGGACCTTCACTGGTGTCCGGAGGATATAACACGGACTGCATTGGGAGGGGTGGAGGGGTATACGCCGTGACGGAAGAAGAATGACTTCCCCTCTACTGCCTCTCATTAATGGTACACGTTCATTTGACAACGTTCGAATGCACCAGGTGCCAGCCACGTCTTCTCCGCCACGAACGTGATTTATGCTCGATGGCTAAGTACAGCCAGGTCCGCGTGCGATCCTCGTGTTTCGTCTTCGGCACAAAATTATTATTTTCTCCGAATTTGGCCGGGAGTATCCCCTTATGGACTGAAGCGAGCAACCATCAAAGGAGTCATGGACAGATCTGATCCAAAGAAGGGGCAGGGACATAATTGGGTTACTCGGGCGACGCTGTAAAACGAGGCTCAGAGCGCCGCCTTTGTTCGCTAAATTCGTTATGATTTGTCATCAAAAGCAGGCGGCGGCAACGTGCCCCGCTTTTTGACACGCGGTTTCTTTACTCTTCCCCCATTGTCCGTTCCCTCTCCATATAACTACAGTCCCTCCTTTCCTACCTTTTTCTTTCCGACGCCACACGCCCACTTACAATCTTCCACTCCGTCAACTCACTTCTCTTAGCAATCACATCGACAATTCTCTCATCCACCTACGATCCACAATGCCCCCAATTCCCATTATCGCCCCCCAGCCTCGCCGTTTACACCCGCAACCGACAATTATTGACTCATCAACCCCTGCGCTACCCATTAATCTCCATGATCCATTCATCGTCAGCCATTCTTTGTCCTTGAATTCGTTATCCGAGGTCTCACTCACATCTATTCCTAACAGTGCCACACACCCGCTCCAAAGAATGCTCAGCTTCCTCGCCTCATGTCCCCGGTTCGCATCCATCACCGTACCAAGCGTCCTTTGGTTCGATCTTACCTCTCCAATCTATACGATTACTCTTACTGATCTGCCCCCTTTTTCGGCATCTTATAGACATCTCAGTCCCCGACACCTTGTAGCTCCATCAAACGACAAGTAGGTTGTCCCCCTCGTACCCCTCGTCGGCGGCGGCACAATATTCGCCCAGAAGCCATCATTGCGCCCCGTGTCATCAACTTTGATTCACTTCCCTGGATATCCGCGCTCGACGACCCAGTCATTACGGCAGGAAATCCCTGGGATTCCGATCTCTCACAACTGGCATCTGCAGAATATATGCGTGCTTCTGGTCTTGGGCCGGTCCGTAGGCTCAAGACAATCTCGCTTACAAGAGAACGGATGGAACCTCTTATTCTGCCACCACCGAATGCCACGTCGACTCCCCCTCCGCGGTTTCCGTCGCCTTCACGAGTGCAGTTCGTTGGGCTCATGCCCACTATGACACCTGCTCGACCCGCGATGCATTGAAATGCATGTAGTGGTCACATCGCCCCAAATTAGATGACCTGTCCCTTTAATCTGCCCCCCTTTCATAACGTCACCATTCCCTTTTTTTTTTTTTTTATCAACGGACCCTCCCATCAATCATCCCTTGCAATCCGGATTCTCCCGTGCCACTCTCCTGCAAATCAGCATCATCAACTGTGATCCTATTCATCGCATATATCTTACCATCTTTTCACATTTCATTCATTCACTCATCTCACGATTTTTTCCGACCAATCCAATGTTTCCCATACTTGATCGTACAATTCACCTTCGCCGTTCGTTGTTTGTACGTCCAGCTTGGTGTGTTACGTTAATATTTATTCCGTGCATTGTGTGTCATATGGGTTCAGCTGCACGTGTTTTCCCTCAACTGCATCTATATATGATGTTCCAAATTCCTACCCTCCCTCACTGCCAATTCCGTTATAACGTGTATACGTATACTGCCTTGCGTTTTCCTGTACAACCTGTTCCTATACAGCGTGCAATACAGTGTTGACTAACTAATACGTCGGCTGTGATTCATGTGCATGATTAGTGACCACAGTCTAACCAATGGCAAAATGAGCTGCCCCAATGAGGCTTAAATTTCGAATTCGAATAGAGGCGAATTAAAACAATGCAAAATGAACTGCCCCAGTGAGGCTCGAACTCACGACCTTCCGATGACTTTCCACTGGAGCGCAGATAACAGTCGGACGCTGTAACCAACTCAGCCATGGGGCATGTGTCGGAGATCAGGCCCAGTCAAAAGTCGATTTAAGTAAATTAAAGTAAATTAAAGTAAATTGAATCAATTCGATTTTTATCAATATGTGAGACTATTTGTGATTGAATTCAATCTGAGATCGAATACAATTAAATACGCTCAAATTCAATTGAATACTCGGTTTAATCGGATCGAATTCAATTGATTGGTAGATTGAATCAGATCGAATCCAATTGATTACCCATTCAAATCAGATCAAACTGGATCGAATTCAATTGATTGGTAGATTGAATCAGATCGAATCCAATTGATTACGCGTTCAAATCAGATCAAATTGGGTCGAATTCAATTGATTGGTAGATTGAATCAGATCGAATCCAATTGATTACGCGTTCAAATCAGATCAAATTGGGTCGAATTCAATCGATATTCATTTATTTCATATTTACTGGGGAATTACACAATCGAATCCGTTCGCGATTTTATTATTACATCACGATCACCTCGCCCGATCGGGCCGGCCCATTGCGAATCATTTCTAAGTCGGAAGGCCAAGATCGTTGGTGCGTGAAGCGAGGGATAATAGCACTGTGCTTACCTTTATCACTTTCTGTTCGATTTGCCTTTCTTTTCTTGCTTTCTCTCGAGTTCCAGTTGCTTGTAGCGCTGTATACATGTTACGATTAGAGATCACGCGTACCATACATATATGACACTTACCGTGACAGTTTCCACGTCCAAACTGTTCCAGACTTTGCCGAATTCGTCTCGCGTAATGGTCGGGTGATCCTTAAGGTACTCGATCGCGAAGAGATTACTGTGATCTGTGTGATCTTATCATTCCAAGATGTTGAGTCTGGTTGATACACTCACCGCGCTGATATGGAGTTGTTTGGGCGCATAGGGATTGTCCTCTTTGGCGCTGTGGAGTTAGCGGAAGTAGAGTTGATGGTATTTCCATTGTTGGCCTGATTCGACACTAATTGCACGCTGCTCTGCACCTCCGGCACTGTCTCCGTGTCAGTGCCACTGAATGGGGCGCAGAATATCGCAACTCACCATCCGGAGTCGATGTCAGAACTGGGTCTATGGGGATCGGCGCAGCATCTATGCGTGGTTGCATAGGAATGTCCGGCGCCGGTGCGCATTGCATGTGAGTCAGGGGTGGGGCGAGCTCGTTGTGGACACCTTGCATCGGTGGGGCGAGATGCATGGTGGGGGTCCTGATCGCTGCCTCACGTCGTGTGACAGAAGCACTGATCGAGTGATGTAAGTATGTCATTGTCTAATGAGAATACATTACTTACAGTGGGTTAGGCACGCGCAATGTCTATCGCGACACGGAGTTAGTATGTGAGTGCAGGTGTACAGTACGAGTGTATATCAACGTACCAGCCGTTCAGTCGGCCTAGTAGATGTACCTTCATTGCTGCCATTGCATGGAGTGTGTGAAGTGTCGATCTCCTCCAGAGCAGTATTGGGGGGAGCCGTAGAAGCGAGGGCGTTGTTACACTCTTGCTGCGTGAGCGGCGGGGTGGGGGAAGGACTCGGAGGGCGTGCTACCGGGCCCGTGTCGTCTGGATTACATTAGTTAGGGAATTATGAATGAGAATCATTGAGATACCTCTCGCTCTCTTGCTTAGAGGCGCTGGGACTGGATTGTCTATTGATCTCTTGGCTGGACGTACTGGATCCACCTCCGACGACGTTGCTTCGACTTGTTCATTCTTGGGGGATTTCTTTGGTTTGGTGTGTGATGCGTACCATTGCGAATATCCTTGCGTGCAGAGTTTGCATGCCTTCCAGTGTGCATGGCACAAACGGAGGATAGGATATTTAGATTCTATTTCTTCGTAGAATCTGGATTGAATTTGTAAGTGTACACGCCCCCATGGGCTCGGCAGTGTTCCGGATGATTCCTCGTAGAAAACACGCCAGATACGCCGAGCTGATTTCCGTATAGATTTCACTTCGCGGGGGGTCAGCATCCTTCCTGAGTCGTCCTCAAGATACCAGCACATCACGTTCTCGCCCTCGTTGGCGCGTTTTGGTCCGCGCCCAGGCCGCTCGGACTCTTCACTTTGGTTAACCAGGGCGCGGCGTGCGCGTAGCTCGTCGTTATAATCTTCTTCATACCAATAATGGATGTTTGGGTAGTCCCGGTGGTTTAATGGCCTCAGCTCGGCCGCTTGAGTCTCAGTAGCCTGGCTCGGCTGAATTGGATTGCTTCCGTGCTGTATGGCCTCTACAAGGGATTTAAAAGATCCCCTTCAAGTTATAGTGTTGTGAGCTAGGTTGCCTGTGCGACTGAGCAAGTGCGATTCGTACTGTAAAGTGTCCGCACGTATTTTTTCTTGTCTGTACTTTTCCCAGACCCGGAGGTAGGCGCTATTACGGGCAGCCATGAGGTCAGAATGGGTGGCACGCATAAGCTCAGTATTCTGGCCGCTAGAGAGGAAGGGGTTGTAGGCGGATGTCGACCCAGACAGATCACGGACACTTGAGTCCGTAGATGATAGAGACTCCAGATCAGAGTCGGACAGTGTATAGGGCCCGTCGACGTCCATGAGAGACATTGTGAAGAAGATGAAAAGATGGGGATGCAAACGCGTTGGGGTGTGCATCTTTTCTAAGTAGATTTCATTGCCGAAATGGGTATCTTAATGCACGGATTCGATTTTGATTAATCGGGCTATGATTAGATTTATCGCACGTGTCTACATGCATCTATGAGTGACGCATTGTAAGGCGGCCCTAGTGGTCGCCTTACCATAGTAAATGATTGATTCACACTTGAATTAAATACATCTGTGCGATATATTAACTGACTACTGCTTAGGATCGAAGATCCTAAGTAAACGGGCCGGCTCGAGGCTACCCCAGGCGTCGCCCGACGCGTCGATAAGTGTCGGACGGCCCGACCCGAGGACTGCTACGTGCCAGCCCTCGCGTCTCGCGTCACTGACACTGGCGGCCCGGTGCGGCTAGATAATAAAGAAATAAGCAACGCTGCAACATTGCGAGCGTTCCACATTAAATCTGGCAATGCACAGATGGCCATGTATTCTCATAGTCACGGTATTCTAATAAAGTACTTATCACGATCTCATTCATCACAATCCGATGGTGTGCGTCCAAACACATCTTCCATCTTGTTTGCGACATGTCCCATTGCCTCTTTATACCCGTCTTCCCGCGCTTTTTGTATAATGTCTTCTAATGAGTGGCCGTTTATTGTGATCTTACTCGGCTCTATCGAGTTCGTAACGAGTGCTTGCGAGTTTACCAATGCGTCGATACGATTAGAGGGTGCTTTGGCTGTGCACGGTGCACATGAATCATAGTGCACACCGTGAGGGACATGGGGTGTGCACGGCGCACAAGAAGAGTAGTGCACACCGTGAGGGACATGGAGAGTGCATGGCGCACAAGAAGAGTAGTGCACACCGTGAGGGACATGGGGAGTGCATGGCGCAGATGAAGCATAGTGCACAGCGTGGGCTGTACACATTTTGCGCAGCTTACTAGGCATGGGGTGGTCCGTTTGTGTCGCCTGCGTTATGCGGGAAGATGGCCCGGGACTAGGATGTGGAGGATCCGTTTGCACACTCTTTCCGTTGTAATGCAATGGAATTTGCATCGGAAAAGCTTGCAATGAGGGCACTGGAGGGTTTGATAAAGCAAGAGCAATATGGGGTGCTATTGAATCGCACGTACCTTCTGTGTCTGGGCGTGATCCTGCTACCTGCTGGGTCTCCTCGATCTCTATGACCTCCGGTGGCAATGGCCGCGGCTTACTTCCGCCAATAAACCCGGATGAGACGCGGTAGCCCAGCATTTCATTGACCTCGTTAGGGGGGGCGTGAATTGGGTTGAACCTGTCACTGCAACCCCTTCTAGGGGGGAGTCTTGTAGCCGGCATCGGCTGGGATGGCTACCAGCGAGGACTGAGCGAGATGCGAGTGTATATATGCGGGCGTCTTGTTATCGAGTGGACAGTATACGTAGTTAGATATGGTGTATTGTATTGAATATATGCGCATATATATGCGCATATATATGGCCATATACGTACAAGCTTCTCGCACATGCGTTCTATATAGAATTCCACTGCGTTATCACACATGCACAATATATATCACTTAATTATACCAAGTCGCAATAAGGTGGTCCTTAATGCACGTCTTACGATAAATAAAACTACTTCACACGAGATAATTCTATTTGATTGAAGTAATAAGTAAATACTGCTTAGGATCGAAGATCCTAAGCAGTCTTAATTAACGGGCCGGCTCGAGGCTGCCCCAGGCGTCGCCCGACGCGTCCATAAGTGTCGGGCTCGCGCGAGCGGCCTCCCGGACCGAGTCGGGCCCGAATCGGGTAAGGGCCAGTAAGAACGTAGACGCGAGGGCATCGGGCCTTGCACGTCAAAGTAAAATTTCTGCAGATTGAAACAAGGGCACATCAAATACAATATATATATCTGAGAAATACAGGGATGTGATAAAGCGACAAAGATCATCGTCTTCGAGGTATATCGCACCAACGGCATGGACGGTCCGACCCAAGAACTAATACGTGTCTCGCGTCTCGCGTCTCGCGTCTCGCGCCACTGATCTAGCCGACCCGGCTCGCCTAGATAATAGGCAATTAAGCAACGCTGCAATATTGCGAGCGTTGCACACTAACTCTGGCAGTGCTTATAGTCCGTTCAATGTACATTGTAGCTACTATTACTCTTCATAATCTACTGGATTATAATCATCGCCCTGTCCAATAATGAATGCATCTAAACCTGGTTTCTCTACTACAAAAAATCGTTCACTTGCTGCTCCATCGCTCGGTTTCATGGGTATTAGTGCCACAACAGAGAGGATAGAATTGACCTCGATAACACGCAGATCACTCGCGCCCATATGCGAGCATACATACAATGTACCATGCGACAGACCAAGCAGTCGCGCATCCGGTTCAGACCACATTGACACAAGCGCATACTTGCGCACCGTTCCGGAGT